ATGCCATATGTTACTGTTATATCCTCAATTTATAATTCTAAAATTTGCTTAAATTAGATGTCAACTAGAGGGTACATGACGTTAAGATCAGGTAAGTCTTAAAAATATATATAACAAGTACAGGTAGTAAATACGAAATTCCTTGAAGCTTCGAGAGGTTACTAAAGAGTGAGTGAGTTAGTAAAGACAGTCAAGGAGTGACAGGGATAGTTTCTTTTTTTTGATAGAGCATTGAACCAGTCAGTATTTAGAACTTGTTTGCTATTGCTTTTGTTAAGTTACTTTGTACAAGTACGTTGATTTTATTTTACGGTAGCTAAAAATATTTTAATACTGGCCCACAACAAGTTGCGATAGTGTACAAGAGTTCACGCTTGTAGAAATATTAAAGGAGGAAATAAAGTAATTTGTTCTCGTTACTTTAACTGAACATTGAATTATTTTCACCAGATAATTCAAAAGAATCCGCCAATAAAAGAACAGCACTACGACACATGATGTTAGAAGTGGGGCTTATTTAAAATATAATAGAACTAAGAATATACTTAAACTAGAACTTCAACAGTTAAAGATGGCGACCACAATGTAAAGTAGTGAGATTTAATTGTTACTTGAGATGATGAAATTACTAGGACAAGACCAAAAGGAACAGAACAGAAACTTAGAAGAAAGAGATAGAAAATAAAAAAACACAGGAAAAACTTAAAGAAAATTCAAAGAAGATCAAGCGGTAAGAGACAGGGATTTAAGAGAGGAGTAATAAAAAAGAGACATACTACTTAAGTAAGAATAAAAATAAATCTAATTGAAGGCAAGATCGATGAAACTATTAGAGATATACAGAAAGGTTATTACAGTAGGATCCAAGAAATATGGAAAAGCTGTAATGATAAGATTGAAGAAGCACAAAAGGATATTGTTGAAGTTACAAGTAAAGTGCAAAAAGACATGAATGGGATAAACAAAGACTTCCGTGACAGAATAAAACATCTGAAAAATGAATTATCAAATGCAAAAATTAAGCTACCCACATCTCTTTCTGCATTAACTCAAGAGTTCCAGCCTAGAATGCCATTTGCTACAAAATATCAAATAAGAGAACCACCTTGTTGGCATTTATTACCACTACTGCTGTACCACCTGTTACTGAAAGATCTTCCTGGACTACTCCAGCCATGACACTACCAAATACAGTTGTAGAATCCAGATGGAAAATTCAACATTGGCAAACAGAGAAACCAATGGACTACGATAGAAAAGTACTATGGGTGTCATAGCAGGTTCAGTTTGATTATAATTTCCAGATTGAATGGATAAAATAGTTAACAATAAGTCATCCAGCTGCCCATCTAAAAGGACCATATTTGACAACATTAAGTAACCTTTCAGCTGAGAGTTGTAACAACTATCAAGCATTGGTAGCCATCTTATCCAAAAAGTCCAGAGTGTTACACCAGAGAGCATTATCTAGAGCAAAATTCCTGACTATGGTACAGAGGAACTAAGAAATTGGCTAAACTTAAGGACGGTTTGGAAAGTTTTGCCCAATTATTTTACCTGGACATTCCTCGTGAAATGATGGATTCGTCAGCACATAACCAATTTATAGATGCTTTAACAGAGGATATGTGGATCAGGCTGAAGCAAAGTAGATGTACATCCTTATAGGATGTACGTCCTGCAGTTGGTTATGGAATTAGAATCCATTAAACTTGCAGAAAAACAAATACAGACACCAATTCGAAATTATGGGGCCACCAGATCGAATTGTGTTGAAACATCAACTGCTGCTGATGGCAGTTTAGAAAAACTAAAATGATTAGTTGGACAACTAATAACACCGAGTAGATGAAATAAACCACAAGACAATAAGTGTTTCAAGTGTAACGTGAAATGATATATTACCAAGAACTACAGAAAAAATGCTTGTAGGGAATTAGAACTCCTCTCAAATGATACCAGAAAGTTAGAAGTGGTGAATCTGGCCATTACAGCTGAGACTGTGAGGAACTAATATTGTTAAAACACCAAGAAGGTAATACCCCTATGATAAATCTTTGATCTCAACTAGATTGAAGGAACAACTGAGGACTAACTAAATATCGAGAAAGAGGAATTAGCTGGACTTATGGGAAAAAGTTCAGCTGGCAATATTCTATCTACCACGAATGGGAAAAAATAGTTAATTTTTTAGGAAAATAGTCCTTGAATCCATAGGGTTATTGGTGGAAAACTTTGGAGAATGTTAAATGACACTCATTCCATAAGTACAATTGATAGTTCTGATTTGCTAATGAAAGATGGGAAATTGCCTCCAGAGATGAATAAAGAATAAGAATTGATGAGAACAGCAGGTGAACACAAAGTTCCAGCAAAATGGCAGTTAGAATATAATCTTACTATAGCAAGCTTCTCTATGTGTGGGTAGTTGACATGAAGGAAGAGTGAATTTTGGGAGCTGACCTCATGCAAAGACATGGATGGGAGATAAGTCTGGCTTCAGATAGCTTCATTGTCTATGACCAGATAATCCCTCTACTCTATATGAAAATTACTACAACAAAGGTTGAACTCCAGGGATAGTGGTTATCGTATCACCAAGAAATGAGTTGGGTTTTGTTTCTTTGTTTTGAATTTCGTGCATAGCTACTCGAGGGAACTTCATTAGCCATCCCTAATTTAGCAATGATAGACGAAAAGGAAGACAGCTAGTCAACACCATTCACCGCCAATTTTGGGGCTATTCTTTTACCAATGAATAATGGGATTGACAATCACATTATAACGTCCCCACGGCTGAAAGGGCGAGGATTCGAACTCGCGAGTCGAGTGTCCTAACCAATAGGCCATGCCAGGAGTTAAAAGAAATAATTCTTCATTTACTAACTGAGGTTTATAGGAACCAAATACTCCAGCATGTTATGGGGTTTAACGTTTTGAGGAGCTCTCATGAATGTGTTGACTAAAGCTATCTTACATGGCTTTACCCAGAAAATTCTTACATAGACTTATGATAAAGCAAAGGTAGCTACAATGTAAGTGCTGATAAAACTGGATTCAATGAAGGTGACATAACATACCTAATAGTTCTCGTGAGAATAGAGAACAAACTCTCCATAGTTAACTTGGTGTTCAGAAGAGAGGTGATCGCCTTTGGAAGTATGTTGATGAGAAAATGGCCAACTGGGTAACTCCAGACAAGAACTAGTCAGCGGAACCTCAACTGCAGAGGAGCTTGGAGTTCCTGTTGAAACTACTTCCAGAAGATCGTCAAAGCTTGAGCCACTATAGGATTCACTTGACCACTGATTCAGGGAAAACTCTCCCAATGACAGGATGGCCAGTAAAAACAAGGGACAAGACGTCACCCTATTTGTAAAACCATGCGCTTTCGAAGAGAAAACCATCAAAAAAATTTATTAATAGAAAATTCAATGTGATGTTTTATTTTTGTATTAGGATTGTTCATGAGACTTCAAAATTCAGGAAAGAGGCAATGTTATAAGTTATATTTAAAATGTGTAACTTGTTTAATTTACATGTTAGCTGGAGGGCACATGACTTTAAGGTCAAGCAAATCCTAGAAATATTTAAAACAAATGTAGATTATAAATACGACGTTCCATAAAGCGTCGAGAAGTTAATTAAAGAGCGAGTTGAAAGACAATCAATAAGATAGTAGGAAGAGTTTCTTTCAGTATAGAATGTTGAATTAGTCAGTGTGTTATAGTGAAGTATTTGGATCTGTGTTTGCTACCACGCTTGTTGAGTTAGTATGTTGGTTTGTTTTACCTTAGTTAACATCATTTGTAACGTACATCTACAACAATTTACCTTGACTGACTGTTATTTTAGTTTGAGGCTTGTTGTCTTTTAGTTTTATTTTCTGTTTATCCTGCCCTTTTCAAGGCAATATCCATAAATGTAGCCGGTGTAGGTGAAGCTCTGGAATGGGGTGACTTTAATTTTTTACTTGGTTTTAGATATTTTGTTAAGTGATTGTGTGGTATTTGGGCTCAAAACTAAGTGTATGATGTGTGGAATAACAGGTATTAGGTGTTGTTTAGCTATTTCTATTAAAAGTGTGAAGCCGTCTGTATTGTCTTGGGGGTTTCTGTACTGTTGTATGAATTCTAATAATGTAATTTTAATAACTTCAAGGATGGGACTTGTTTCGGTTTCAAGTATGTTTGTTGGTTGACTTTCTATGATTTGAGTTTTGCTGTACATTTGAAGTGTTAGGTTGTTTCTGGATTTGTTTTGTTGGCATTTGCGTTTCTTGATTATATGTTGTAATCTGTACGGGTGTGTTTTTCTGTTTTCGGATTATGTGTTTGCTTTGACTTATTGTATTTATTGTATGTTCTAGTTTTGATGTCATTGTATTTAGAACGTCCTTTATAATTAAATATATATTGCTGTTGGTAGTTACAGCATAGTTAAGAGACTCAAACAAGTAAATATTTCGACTTCATAAAAACGTTATTAATACAACATAAAGACTGTTTAATAAATATGTTTGATTAAACTAGAATAGGAAACTTTGGTAGATACATGTAGAAATTAAGAAAACTGTACTAGCTCAATCCACGAACTGGCTCTATAATGCGTGTATCTATAATGTCGAATTTACAAAAACCGTACAAGATGTATTAATGTAATGTGGGTTACGCAACTTTATTAAAAATACATGGAGACTTTACAGACAACTTACAAGCTCAGTTTACAAAGATGTTATTTAAAATATATTTCTATAATGGGATTATGAATCTTTAGCAAAGAAACGTATGATTCACAGATTTATAAGTCCTACTTTCAATCTATTTAATACACATTTTCAGAAAAGTAGGTTCAGAAACTTTGAGAAATATACTTTTAAAACTTACGAAGACTTTACAAGTCCAGAGTATTATATATAATTTTTAGTGCATCTAATTTTATAATTATCTTTTTTTAAAGATTGTTTTGCATTGTTAACTTAATATATATATATATTTAGGACTAACCTAAATCTCCGAATCTCGCAAGATATTGTTGGGTTTACGGCCGAAAATATTAACAGAAAATGTATACAGTTGAGTAAACAATACATTTTAATCTTTTTAAGTGAGTACACAAGAAAAGTATATTGGATTAGCTATACTCATTACAACGTTGATTTATTAGTTTTGCACTGAGGTAAATAGCTTCCTCTGATAGGAGGTTAATACTCATTACAAAGTAGCTACATAAAATATATTTTTGAGGTGTGGTTAGGAAACTTTAGTACATTATTTACACAGACCTTACAAGTCAAGTTAATTACCTGGATATTTAATACGAGTATAACTGTAATGCTGCTTAGGAAACTTAATTAGGAAACATATCGCATTTACAAAAGGGTATATATTTAATATATATGTGTTTAAAGTGATATAGGAAACGTTAGAAGAAATACATTTAGAATTTACAGCGGCCTTAAATTCAATTTACTAAATGTTTATTCAATACATGTATTACTGTAATATGGGCTGAGAAATTCAACCTAACAAACGAATATTAAGAATGACCTTACAAACCCAGTTTACAGACAGACTACTGAAATGTGTTTTAAGAAACATTGGTAGAGATGTACTCCTTATAGAAACACTGTAAGTCCAGTTTAGAAACTGGCTACTTAATATATGTATTTATGTAATGTTGTCAAGAAACTTTGGTAAAGATGACTTACACATACTTTACAAGTCTAGTTAGCTAATTGGCTATCTAACAGTTGTATAACTGTGATGTGGATTGAGAAACTTTCCCAGAGATACAAGTAGAGTTTATAGTTCAAAAACTGGTTATTTAATATAGGTGTTACTATAACTGGCATAAAATACCCATTCTCCTATAGGATTCAAAGGCCCCTTGTTATTTATATATATATACCATAAAGTACTGATCAAGCTCCTATGCTATCCCCAATTACTTCTATAGATACCTCAAAGGGGAACCATAAAAAGATAATTGTTGAGACATCCACCCCTGGCACTTGAGCATGTGTGCCAAGTTTGTCCTGCTAGTAAGTCCAGTTTACTAAGTGGTTATTTAATATATGTATGATTGTAATGTGGGGTGGGATACTTAAGCAAGATACACACAGAAGTTACAGTGACCTTACAAGTCCAGTTTACTAAGTGGTTATTTAATGTATGTATGATTGTAATGATCTTTGTAGAATTTACAAAGATCTTATAAGTCCATATTATACAATATCAACTTCATATATGTACTTTTTTTAGAGTGGATTAGTAAACATGTTGACATTACACAGACATTAAAAGTGCAGTTTACAAACTAGCTGTTTAATAAAGGTATTTGCTTGTAGTGGATTATGAAACTTGAGCATATGCATGTTGTTTACAAATTCACTATTTAATGTATTTATTTCTGTAATGTTGTTTTGAAACTTTTGCAGAAATTCATGTAGAAATTAGAGGCCTTATTAGTTCAGTTTATAAACTTGTTACTTAATACATGGCTATTTTGTACATGTATTACTGTCATGTGGGTTAGGAAACACTAACAGAGAGAAATGTACAACTTAAAGAGACTACACCTTCACAAACCAGGTATTTAACAAATCTACCTATATAAAGTCAATTTGTCTGTAAAACTTTGAGCTATTCAAGGGCTCTCTGCACTAGCCATCCCTAACTTTGAAGTGACAAGCTAGAGGGAAGGCGGCTACTCAACACCACCCACCTCCAGCTCTTGGGTTACTCTTTTATCAATGAATAGTGCAATTGACCATCACGTTATAACAACCCCCATGGCTGAAAGGGTTAGCATATTCAGCGACAGGATTCAAACCCACAGAATGTGAGTCGAGTGCCCTAACCGACAGACATTAAAAGTCAAATAGTAAACTTTTAGCAGATGCATGCAGAATTTTGAAAGATCATACAATACCGTTTTACAAACTGGTTATTTTAATCACGTATTTTTATAATGTTGTTACCATACTTAAATAATTAAACTTAAAACATATGCAAATACCTTAAGAGATCAGTTTATAAACAGGCTATTTTCTACACACATTACTATAATGTGGATTAGACAACTCTAGGAAAGATACGTGTAGACTTTACAGGAAGTCCACTTTACTAGCCGACATGTATTTTTGAAATATGGTATACAAACTTTTGTAGAGATAGTCCAGAATTGACAGACATTACAAGTCCTGTCTTCAAAGTGGGCATTACTGTACTGATGGATAGAAAATATTGTCAGAGCCACAAGTAGGATTTACAGATATCTTACAAGTCCAGTTTACTAACTACCTATTTAATAGAATCCTATAATGTCGGTTAGGAAACTTTGCAAAGATACATGTAGAATTTGCAGAGATATAACAAGTTTCTTTTTGGTATAAGGTTCCAGTTTTGGGTTTCAATTAATGCTATATTTACAAAGGCAGTTTTCTGTAATAAAACAAAAAAGTACATGTTAATGTGAACTAACAAATATCAAGTAGGTTTAGGACTTGATGTGCAGATGTGAAGACTTTCCAATATATTTCTAGCCTGAGTCATTCAAACAAAAGTATATTTTTGCTAAGCTATAAACAGTAATAACTCCAAGAAAAAATACAACAAAAGCCAACAGTTTATTTATTAATAAAACAAAGACCGTGGTTGGACAAAATCAAATTAATTTGCATATTCTCTTTTTTTCTTAAATGAACAGTTTTCACTGAAAAAATAAAAACATAGGTAAGATACAACATGAACATAAACTTGTGGCCCCGTATATTTCTATGATAATAAGAGAATAATGCGGTGGTATAAAATTTTTAAAGCTAACATCATACAGTTTACACACACACAATATATATATATATATATGAAGACAGTGTGGACTTTGAAGGTAACCTGAAAACAGTATGAACACTATTGTTCTCTGAAGGTATTTCTGGTAAGCTTCACTTAATATTAAAATCTGTTATACACATGTTCCTTATAAGTATACATTTTTTTGTACAAAATTTAGATAATGTTTCATTTTTAGCAACAATAAATCTAATTTCATCACACAATACATCTTTATTAGCACACTGACCATCACAAAAACATGGACTAAACATGTTTTAAGCACTAGAACTGTGGCCAGAGAGAATCAACATGCCTTGTCTCTAGGAGGAATACATAAAAAAAACAATAAAAGGGACATGACCATTCAGTCCATAAGACAATCAACTTGCTGTTTCTCTGATCATTGAAGTCTGGACAATGAGCAGACAAGGCTGTATATCTACAGTATCTGTAGTTTTTCTATTCTTCTAGTTTACACAGAAACTTCCCGTGTTTCCTTCCTGCTCTTCATGATTTCTAAACTGAAAGTTACAAGGAGGAAAAATTTGGACTACAAATGAACATCTTGAACCCATGTGGCACATAGTTTGTGTCAGTCTTGATACATAAAAACTTTATTCAACCATCTTTCAAAAAATAAAATAGCAACACTGGACTGATGAGCTGTGATGTTGAAATGATGAGTTTGTTCACAGTGACCATGCAAGATGATGAGGTGCTCTACTGATGTCCATAACGAAGGATAATTAACTCTGTAAAATCTTAGTACTAAAAAAAAAAAAATTAAACAAGTTATATTTATAGAAGATCATGAAACCTTCATATATTCTAAGCTTTCTTCAGATACACAGGTAAAATAGTACGTACACTAATATTTCCTCTGCTGACCAAGTCATCTGGATTAAGACTTGGCTGCCCAAAATGCATTAAAAAGATACATTATCAGGTTGTTTATGGAGCTAAAATGAAACCATAATTCAAAATGTAAATGTAACTAAAATAATGCATGAAATTAAACACATATTAATCTATTCTAAAATAATTTATATTAATTATACAATACAGTAAACATATGAGAACATATATATACATAATGGGTATACATGCAAATATTATGTGACTGCTCTTCCTTCATTCTATGAAAATGAACTGCACCACAGTATAAGCATGTACTGACAGCTTACAATGTGACTGGTTGTATCCAACTAATCCAATAAAACAATGCCTATAAATGTATAGACAGCATGTTATTTCCAGCAGTAGTATGCTGAATGCACTTATGGCTACCTCGACAGAAATGACACATGATAAACATGTGACAGATTGAGGCAGAATTTCACTTTTCAGTAAGAACTGTATGGAAATTGTGATGAAACTAGTGCTGCTGAAAATAGAAGCAATCGTAGAATAAAACCCAAACTCTTCCGGTGTGATGTTCAGTAATTCAGGGTACACTCTTAACTTGATTGATACACAATAATCCCACAAGTCTTCAAAAGAGGCTAAATTGAGCTTTATCCTTAGCTAGAACTAAAGAACAGTATGCTATTACACAGGGTTGGGTGATTTAATCAATTAATTGAAATAATTAACTCATTAGTCACAAAAATAATCAACTAATAAATAACTGAAATTAATGTTTCCATTTATTATTGTTTTTAATTATTCCAACAACTGATTAACTGAAATTACAATTAAATTGATTATCAGGAAAATAATCAATTAATCAAAATTAGAGTTCCCCATTATTTAATGTTTTTGATTATTCCAACTGTCCAATTAATTGAAATATTGCCATTATGTTTCTTTTGTTAAACACAAAGCCACATAATGAGGGATGAGGATGCTTCATGATATGTGTATCTCAGGTTCTATTCCCACTGCCTATAAACTTGCTTATCCTGTCTTTGTGCTATCTTTGTACTAATGCTATCTGCCACAGTCACTAATTTTGAATTGCTGACTAGAGGGAAGATAGCTGGCTAGAAACACCTATCATCAACTCTCTAGCTACTTAAGTGTTAGCCCTCTAGTGGCACAGCGGTATGTCTGCGGATTTACAACGCTAGAAACCGGGTTTCGATACCCGTGGTGGGCAAAGCACAG